ACAGCCTCGAGTTTCCCCCACCATGTTTGTCTGTGGTGGACTTCAACATAGGTATTGTTTAGCTGAGTCAGTCCCCACTGCCTTGTGGTTATATCTTTCAGGTTATATACCACACTGATGGTCATCTTGTTCAGGCCAAGACCATGAGCACATTTAGGGTTCTCCTGAGTTAGAAGAGGATCCAGAATGTGTGGGCTTCAGGACGAATCTGAATGAGCCCTCAGCAATGTTATTGTTGTGCCCGAGTTTTCACATCTGAGAGACCACCAAGGAGCCAAGCACCGATGCAATCACATGAGGGTTTATTTGACAAGCTTAAACTTGGGCCCAAGTATACACGACACAGCGGAGTAGGGACTTGGACCCCGAACCAGATTACAGTCAGAGTTTTTAAAGGCAGAGTAGGGGTGGACTCGGTGGTGGGTGAGGACAAAGGGGGTTATGGATGATGTAAGTCTCTAAGGAATTTTGGAAGCGAGGTCTCCAGGACCTTGAGGGGCTAGCTGTTGTCTGAGGAAAAGGTTATTCATTACCAATAATAAAAATCTTCCTGTGAGACCCTTTAGATGTATATCAGTGGGTCATATACTTGGGAATGATTCTCAACACTATCTTGGAGGTTTAGAGATAAAGTTTCCTAAAGGAACTGTTAAAGTAGACTTACAGGATTCTGGTCGTACCTGTCAGGGTAGGGGGTCGGTCAGGCTAGGATTGTCCTTAGCAAAATCTCAGCGTGAGGGCAGTTAAGTCCCCAGGGGAGAGCCACTCTGTCTGTTTCAAGGGCTTGTCAATAGGTGAGGAATTTTAATGATTTTCTTCTCCCTCTGTTTCCCACATCAGCTAAACTTGAGGTGGGATGGCCTTAATTTTCTCGGCCTCCACAGTTATGGGGCACCTGGCTTCCTGGGCCCTCTGTGGCACTGGCACGGGCCTGTCCTAGGCCACAAAAAACATAGCTTTTTCCATCTTCTCTACCCTCTGTCAGCATCTGTGTTTCCTACCAACTGTGTCTTTGCAGACAAACTCTGAGATGGCCTATGGCTTGGGACTCCACTGACATCTCAGAGTCTCATTATAACCACTGCCAGAGGTTTCTGTGGCCCTGACCTGACCTTTGTTCCCAGAATATGCCTCTTGAAGAGTCCCATGAGAGCCTGGGAGTCCAGGAAAGATCTGTGGGTACAGAGGCAGGATCACCAAGGGGGTTAATGGAGGGCATGAGGTTCCGGGTTTGTGGTCAGGGGAGCTGCCAATGTTGGCAGTGACCTCAGTGGAGCACGCAGTTTCTCCTGTTCTGAGGGTTCTGTGCAGCTCCAAAGGGCACGGTTTCCTCCTGGGGGGCAGGAGGACTCCTGGGGTGTGACTCAGAGGTCCCCAATCTGGGGGGCTTCAGGGCCAGGACTCTGGGGACAGAAGCCTGAGAACCCAACCCAGGGTTGGGTTTCAGGCCAAGGGGCATGGAGGCCTCACCTGCCGGTGGGTCTCCCAGGGGGTGTGAGGAGAGGGAGGTTGGGTAGGCGTTCGGAGGAGATCTGGGCCACACATGGGCCACACTGGATGGAAGCCTCTCAGACAGGCTTTCGTCCATGACCAAGCAGGACCCTGGGTCAGGCCTAGGTGGCTCCCACGAAGGACCCCGCTGCTGGGAGCGAGTTCGACCAGGGATTCCAGCCAATTCTCATGAGCTTTCTGCCCAAATCAATGTTGATTTGGGCAGAAAGCTCATGAGAATTGGCTGGCATTGGGCGGTGATTCTGGCCGGGCACCCACCTGGTGTTTGGAGCACTTTCTCGCTAGGTGCATGTTGTGGCCATGTGGTCCATGAGATGGGCCCACGTGGCTCCCCTGAGGGCCCCCGTGGAGGCAAGCTCCCTGGGGTCTGTGATGTGGGAGGGTGTGAGCCTGAGCATCACGTGGTTCGAAGGGGTCGCCATAGGTCAGGGTGGCCTGAGGGGGACATGCAGGTTTCTCCAGGTATGAGGGTTCCGCGCAGCTCCCAATGGCACGGTTGCCTTCTGTGTGGCAGGCGGAGTTCTGTGGTATGGCTCAGGGGTCCCCAATCTGGAGGGCTTGGGGGATAGGCCCCTGGGGACGGAAGCCTGAAAACCCAACTTAGGGTTCAGGTTAGGGCCTAGTGTCATGTCAGGCCCGATCTGCCAGTGCTGAGACTGGCACCCCAGAGGGCTGAGCAGAGGGAGGTTTTGGCCATGTGTGCACCTGGCTTTTAGAGCACTTTCTCACATGGTTCGGGCCACGACCACTCAGGACCTGGGGCCAGGCCCTGTCGGGTCCCCTGAAGGTCCATGTAGCTGGAAAGGAGTTTTCTGGGGGTTTCTGGCCAATTCTCATGAGCTTTCTGTCCAAGTCGATATCAATTTGGGCAGAAAGCTCATGAGAATTGGCCAGCATCATGCAGCAATTCAGGCCACACTCGTGCCCGCTGTTGAGAGCACTTTCTGGCTACGTATGTGTTGCCACCATCCGGGAACTTGGGCTGGGGACACCCAGTTTCATGGGTGCTGAAGTCAGAAGGAGATTCTTTGGGAATTCTCCTGGATAGAGGCATGCTGGTGGTTTCAAGGGGCTTGGCGTCAGCAACCCTGGGGTGAGTTTCGTGCCTGACGCTGGGTGAGTCAGATTATCCCACAGGTTTTCTGTTTCCTCCTTAGGAAATTGCTGGCAGATGATATTCTGCTTAAAGCAGAACCCACCTGCACTATCAGTGGGCATGCGGGCTGTTGCAGCCACTCTGGCAAAAAGTATGGTGGTTCCTCCAAGAACTAAAAACTGAACTCTAGGATCCAGCAGTTGCACTCCTAGGTATTTACCCAAAGTACACAAAAATGCACATTTAATGGGGTACAAGCATCATGATGTTTATAGCAGCATTATCAACAGTAGTGAAACTATGGAGGGAGTCCCAATGTCCATTCACTGAGGAATGGAGAAAGAAGATGTGGGTGATCTATATCTATATCTATATCTATCTATATCTATATCTATATCTATATCTATACACAATGGAATAGGACCCAGTTTCAAAAAGAATGAAATCTTACCATCTGCAAGGATGTGGATGGATCTGGAGTGGATTAAGCTAAGCAAAATCAGTAGGACAAGACCAATACCCTATGACTTGACTCCTATGGAATTTTTAGAAAGAATACAGATGAATATAGTGAAGGGAGAAAGATAGGCCAATGAGGAACAGACTCCACCTTAGAGCACAAACCGAGGATTGCTAGAGACAGGGGTGTGGGGGAAGGGTTCAATGGGTGATGGCTATTAGGGAGGGCAATTGCTGTGATGAGCTCTGGGTGTTCTATGCAAGTGAGAAATAGCGAAATCCTATCCCTGAAGCAAAGGATTTACCACTGCACAGAAACAAGTTGGAATTGAAGTCAATGAAGAAAAGAAGACCATGTTCTGCTTCATGAAGAGTGAGGTAAAAATGGAGTGATTTTCACTCTCCTATTCTGTAGATGATCATTTTCAAATACACTGTGGTAGGATACGCTAGTTTATTTTTGCATAAGGAATCCTCAGAAAGCTGCCATGGGGGGCACCTGGGTGGCTCAGTGGGTTAAAGCCTCTGCCTTCAGCTCAGGTCATGATCTCAGGGTCCTGGAATCGAGCCCCACATCAGGCTTTCTGCTCAGCAGGAAGCCTGACTCCCCCACTCTCTCTCTGCCTGCCTCTCTGCCTCTCTGCCTACTTGTGATCTCTGTCTGTCAAATAAATAAATAAAATCTTAAAAAAAAAAAAAAAAGCTGCCATGGAAGATACAGATCTCAGAGCATGTACATGTTCCATTGATACATTCCTTAACAGTCTGCCCAGGTACACAGGTAGGTGGAGAGAAATGTGACAGAAGAGGAAAGGAGGTGTTAAGCATTCAGGAGGTAGCCTTCTCCCTTTCTCATGAAAGACTTGGGCCAGTGTAATTTTGGAAGAAGGAGGGAGATCCCAGAGCTCTACGGCAGAGGGAGTTCCAAGTCTGCCTTGAGCTGACAGGGGTCCCTGAGGTGAGCTAAGCTAAGGCATGATCTGCCAGTGCTGGGGCCGGTTCCCTGAGCTGCTGAGTTGAGGGCAGGGTCAGGAGGTATGTCAGGCTGTGGGTTTGTAGCCAGGGAGCTACAGAAGGTGGGGGTGTAGGTTTCAGGGGGACATACAGGTTTCTCCAGCTCTGAAGGGTTCTGCACAGCTCCAAACGGCCCAGCTTCCATCTGGGTGGAAAGCAGACTCCTGGGGTGGGGCTGCCAGTGCTGAAAATGAAACCCCAGGGGGCTGAGTAGAGGGAGGGTTTGGCCACTCCTGCCCCTGGCTTTTAGAATGCTTTCTCACAGGGTTTGAGCCCCAACCACTCAACCACTCAGGACCTCTGGCCAGCTCAGGTGGCTCCCCTGAAGGCCCCCACAGCCAGAAGTGACTTCCGCCAGGGGTTTCCAGCCAAATCTCATGAGCATTCTGCCCAAATCGATATCGATTTGGGTAGAAAGCTCCTGAGAATTGGGCGTCGTTGGGCGGCGATTGGGGCCGCGCCGCGCTGCGCCGAGCTAAGAGCACTTTCTTGCTAGGCGCGTGTTGCAGCTGTGCAAGACTATGAGCCGGCTCCTGGAGCCCCCCCACCCCCCCAAGGCAAGCTCCCCGGGGTGCAGAGGTGAGTTAGGGTGTGAGTGTGAGCCTCAGTCTCTAGCATTTTTTTGGCAGAAGGGGACTCCGAAGGTGAGGTGGCCTGAGGTGGGCATGCAGGTTTCTCCCACTCTGAGTGTTTCCTGCAGCTGCCTAAGGTATGGTTTCCTCCTGGGTGGCAGGCGGTGCCCTGCCATATGGCTCAGGGATCCCCAATCTGGAGGGCTTGAGGGCCAGGACTCTGGGGACGGAAGACTGAGAACCCAAGTCTGGGCTAGGGTTTGGGCCTAGGGGCATGGCAGGCCCCAGCTGCTGATGCTGAGGCAGGCTCCTGGGAGCACTGAGTAGAGGGCGGGTTTGGCCACCATTCAGAGGCGACTGGGGCTGCACGTGCACCTGCCCTTTAGAACGCTTTGTCGGGGGACACCCTGCAGGCCCTGGGCTGAGCCCAGGCAGCTCCCAGGAAGCCAGTTCACTGGGGCTTTCTGGCCAATTCTCACGAGCTTTCTGCCAAATCGATTTCTGCCAAATCGACATAGATTGGAGAGTCAATGTGACCACTTGATTAAACAGCATACAAAAGGTAAATAAGTGATGAGTATATATTAAATATACCATTCCAGATTCGAAATTCTATTAAAGTTGCTTCATTTAAGTCTTCAAGCAGCAGAGTAAAGTCTTGAACATTCTAGAGCCAAACTTCGGAGGAATTTTTTTAAAATTATTTTTTAAATGTACTGTGCTCTATTTATAGGTGTTCTTGTCCAGGACAAGATATTTTTAAAAGTCTAGGGCAAAGCCAGCTTGGTAATATGCTTCAGGGAAAGCTAGGGCAGGGATAAGGATAGACATGTAGATCAATGAAATAGAATGGAGAGTCCCGAAATAAACCCTCGCATTTAAGCTCAATTGATTTTTGACAAGAATGCTAAGGCAATTTAACAGGGAAAGAATGTTTTTTTCAACAAATGGTGCTGGGACAACTGGGTTGACCATGTGCAAAAGAATGAAGATGAATTTTTAACTCATACCAATATACAAAAACTAACTTCAAATGGATCAAAGACCCAAATTGAAGAGCTAAAACTATAAATCTCTTAAAAGAACACATAGATGTAAATCTTCATGACTTTGGGTGAGGCAATGGTTTCTTAGCTATGACCCCAAAAGCAGTAGAAACAAAAGTAAGAATAGATAAATTGAACTTCATCAAAATTAAACACTTCTGTGCTTCAGAGAACACCATCCAAAAAGTGAAAATGGAAGAAAATGTGCAAATAAGATCTGAAAAGGAACTTGCAAATAGAATGTATAAAGAACTCCTACAACTCAATAATAAAAAGACAGATAACCCAATTTTAAAATGGATGAAGGATGTGAATAGACATTTCTCCAAAGAGATATACAAAGGAGCAGTGAGAGGGCGCCTGGTGGCTCAGTGGATTGGGCCTCTGCCTTCAGCTCAGGTCATGGTCTTAGGGTCCTGGGATCGAGCCCCGCATCGGGCTCTCTGCTCGGCAGGGAGCCTGCTTCCCCCTCTCTCTGCTGCCTCTCTACCTACTTGTGATTTCTCTCTCTGTGTCAAATAAATAAATAAAATCTTTTTTTTTTAAAAAAAGAGTAGTGAAGACATAAGAAGATACACAACACTAACCATCAGGGAAGTGCCAGTCAAAACCACTATGAGACTCTGCACTCACCAGGCTGGCTGTAATAAAAAAGACAGTTAACAAATGTTGACAAGGACATAGAGAAACTGTCACTCCCATCCTGCTGCTGGGCCACAATGTAAAATGGTACAACCACTGTGGAAAACCATCAGGAAGTTCCTCAAAAGTTAAATGTAAAGCTGCCCGGTGACTCAGGAACTTCCTGGATATGCTCCAGGAAGAACTAAAAACATATGTCAACCCAAAAACTTCTACACAAATGTTCATGGCATCACTGTTCTTAACAGTCAAAAAGTTGAAACGACCAAAATATCTATCAACTGATGAATGGATAATACATAAAATGGAATAATATTCAACAATAAAAAGAAATGGAATAGGGCCCCTGGGTGGCTCAGTGGGTTGAGGGTCTGCCTTGGGTTCATGATCCCAGTGTCCTGGGATTGAGCCCCACATCAGGCTCTCTGCTCAGGGAGTGCTTCTCCCTCTACCCTGTTCCTGATCTATCTCTCTCTCTCTCAAATAAATAAAATCTTAAGAAAAAAAGAAAGAAGAAAGAGGAAAAGAAGGAAGGAAAGAAGGAAAAAAGGAAGGAAGAAAGGAAGGAAGAAAAATGGAATAGGAGGTTATGTAGAGCAGTGCCTTCTTGACTGGGTTGAGGCAAATACAGAAAACAGGTGTTGTGGTATGCCTGGGTGGCTCAGCCAGTTAAGCCACTGCCTTCCACTCAGTTCATGATCCCAGGATCCTGGGATTGAGTCCCGCATCCGGCTCCTTGTCCAGCAGGGAGCCTTGCTTCTCTCTCTGCCTCTGCCTGCCACTCTGTGTGCTTGTGCTCGCTCTCTCTGACAAGTAAACAAATAAAATCTTAAAAAGGAAAAAAAGAAAACAGGTGTTGTGATTTGTCCTCCTCTGTTTTCTCCTATTCAGAGAAAAAAAATAGAGTACTCAGAGTTAGAGGATAAAGACGCAGGAATGTTGAGCTAAGGACCTTCCTAGAATTCATAAAGTACAGTCATCAGAGAAAACTTTCCTAGAGAAAAGACTGGAGCCTGGAAGGAAAATGGTGACTATGAGGAGGATGTTGTGGTAAATGATCCATAGCAAAGAGGTGGTCAACTCCAATGATGAAAAGGGCAAAGCCAGAAAACAAATTAATTTTTTGGCTGAGATAACATTTAGCAATCATTTTCTGTGGGTCAGGCTGGGTTCTAAGTGATTTACACGGATTATCTCATTTGATTTTCACAACAGCCTACTCTCTGCCCAGGGAGTCAGTCCCCATTCTAAATGTAAACCAGCACCTGGTACTCGCTGCTTCCCTTCCCCGGAAGCTTCCCTTATGCATAGGGTAGAACGCAGACACCTGACCACTGTCTCTAAGACCGAGGCCAACTTCTGGAATTCAGCTCATTCCACTCCAGCCACTCTGGCCTCCTAGCGTTGCCTTAAAGTCTGTTGCTGTCACAAGGACTTTGCATTCCCTGTCCCCCAGCTTGGAACACTTTTCCCCAGATGTTCCGATGGCTCACTCCCTGACTGCCACTCTCTGTTCAAATATTGCTTCCCTAAGGGAGGCCTTCCCCAAAGTCACTCTGCCTCACTCCGCATCTCCAATCCTTGAGCCTGCATCCCTGTCTGGCTAGTCATCGGCTTTACTGTGTCTCTCCTACATTACTAGTTCAATGAGAGCAGCCTCATCTTCCATCCTGCTCTCTGTTCTAGCTACCAACACCTGGAACTGAGTCTAGCATACAGTAAGCACTAAATAAAATGTGTTTGAATGAAATTGGTCCATCAAATATTGTATTTGACTCTCTTTGTTTTCTCTTGGTTTCCTTCTTATTTTTAGTAGTGTGATATTTCTGGGAGCTTTCGTTCGTGTTTTGTCTGATGAAACAAACAGGGAATGTTTTCTCTGAAGGAAAGGCTGAATATGGTCCGCCTTTGGACCAGACCCTAAAAGAGGACATGGCACCCCCTGAAGTCAGTGTGATGGCAGCAGCAGCGACAAGCAAGAAATCATCACAGGACAGGTCCATCTGAGGAAAGAAGCTGGGCTCTGGGGATGCCTGGGTGGCTCAGTTGGTTAAGCGTCTGTCTGTCTTCGGCTCAGGTCATGATCCCGGGGTCCTGGATTTGAGCCCCCATTGGGCTCTCTGCTCAGCGGGGAGTCTGCTTCTCCCTCTCCCTGCTTGTGTGCTCTCTTGCTCTCTCTCTCTAAAATAAATAAATAAATAAATAAATAAATAAATAAATAAAATAAAGTAAAAAAGAAGTTGGGCTGTGAGGGCCGCCACCCACCGCCCCCCCACCCTCCATGGAACCCACCTATCATTCTCTCCACTGCCAACGATAGGTTGGTCCCAGTGGACTTGAGCACCTCTAAGACATCAAACAGTAATCATTCTTCTTTCTTGTTTTCCCTTAGTATCTCTCATAATAACCAGGAGAAGCAAAGAAACCAGCAGGAGTAGGGCTTAGAGCATCACCTCTGGATAGTTCAGGGGGGAAAACCACCAGGAAGGCTGAGGTTTTTTCCTCCCTGAATGAGCAGTAGATTCACCTGGGGAGCCTTTAAACAGCCTGCTGCCCAGGCCATACCTCAGGCTAACTCAGTCAGAATCCCTCAAGGTGGGGCACAGGCAGCTATAGTGCTTACAACTCCGCAGGTGAATCTAATAGGCCCCCCAGTTTGAGGGTGGGGAGCAACGATTCTCACACTTTAATGTGCACACAGATCTCCCAGGGCATGCATAAAAAAGTTGATTCTGATTCCAGCACTGGGGCTGGGGCCTGAGATTTTGCACATTTGACCAGTTGCCAAATGCCCCATCTGCTGTCTAGCTCTCTGCGGACCACAGTTTGAGTAGCAAGTGTGAGATCAAATACTGGCTTTGACTCAGGTTCACAACTTTCAGATCTAAGGTTTCGTGATCTGGACGTTATTAATCCATGTGTTCTGCTAATTCCTGGGCGTCTCAGCCACTTGATGGCCCTTGTTCTCTTTGCTCTTCCTGGCTACCTGACTGGCTGTTGCTGGGGAAACGGAAGAGCCACCTCTTGAACCATCCCACAATCAATGCTGTCCCCGATGTTTCTCAACTGCATGGCCAACTTGTAGATTATCTCCTCCTGGTGATGGTTCTGGCCACTGCTACTCTCCTTGGGCTGAAAAGGCAGATAGTGACCTACATGGGCAGAATAGTTCAGAAGAGATTATTAACTATCTGTAAACCCCTCGCCACTAGTCATAAAAAACTGTCTTATTAGACAACGAGAGGGATGAAATCTCGTCATCAATGATTATAGAAAAGCAGAGTCTTATATTGGAATAGATTAGCTCTGTTCAATAAAAATATAATTCAAACTACATACTAATTTCAAATTTCCTAGTAGTAACATCTAGTATAACATAAGTAATATATTCTATTTAAGATGATAGATCCAAAATATTATCATTAAATGTATAATCAATATAAGATTATTGCTGATATTGTTTTGCATTCTTTTTATTATACCTAAGTCTTTCAAATCCAACACAAATACCTACAGCACATCTCAATCCAGGCACTACCCTGCTTTCCAGGTGGAAAATCTTGATCTGTATTTAGTCTCATGCAATTTACAGTTTAAAACATGAATTCATGCATCCAAGTTGTTCCAAACATACTTGAAAGTTTTCCAACAATGAAATCAAGCATCATTAAAGATGCCAATCATCGTCTGACTTGCCCACACTCCCTTTCAATAGAATCTGCCATGTTGCCTAAGCAATCAAGCTCCTTCTTCCATGTCCTCACCCTGACCTCAGGCCCACAGCTGTTTGGATCAGAGATGGATACCTGACCCAAGAACCATGACTCACTTGCTGGCCAGGTAGTCATAACCCAGCCCCTAAAGAGAAGAGGGTCCCTTCCTCTCTGTTCAGTGTTCAGGAGACTAAGAAAAAAATCGGCAGCAAGAGTAATGCTACAGGACTATGTTGGGCCTAGGGTAAGTCAAATCCATTTGTAAGCAAACATTATGAAAGGGAAGGAAACATTGAAAGGAGAGATGGAGAAAGCTGGTTGACAGAGAAGAACGAAGCCACCAGACACTTACTAGGAAAGCAAGATTAAAAAAAAAAAAAAAAAAAAAGACTGGCCCCAGAATTCCCTGAGAACCTGACCCCACCAAGTTCAGTCCTGTTTCATAAACATCCTCACCAGCAACCACAGCTTTTTGGAGGTGACTAGAGTAGGTTTTTCTTCCCTGCAACCAAACGAATAATCATCAAATATCATATCAATTATCATTGTGTAGAGCTGTCAAATGTAGGAAAAACTATGTAGGAAATTATGTTGGCTATATAGCTGCTTCAGGACAGACTCTGAAAGCAAAATTTAAAAATTAGGTCCCTGGGGCACCTGGTTGGCTCAGTCGGTGGAGCACATGACTCTTGATCTTGGGGTTGTGAGTTTGAGCCCCATGCTGGATGTAGAGATCACTTAAAAACAAAATCTTTTAAAAATAATAAAATGAAAAAAAAATTAGGTTCCTGGTACTAGTGGCTTGTGTTTTGGTTCTGGTCATTTATCCATTCCTATTAAAATTTGAATGGAGGAGCACCTGGGGGGCTCAGTCAGGTAAGCACCTGCCTTTGGCCCAGGTCACCATCCCGGGGTCCTGGAATCGAGCCCCGCATTGGGCTCCCTGCTCAGGAGCTTCTGCCCCTTCTGCCGCTCCCTCCGCCCCCACCGCTTGTGCTTACATGCTCCCGTGCACACACTCTCTCTCTCTCTCTCAAATAAATAAAATATTTTTTTAAAAAGTTGAATGCAAAATGTCTTCAAGGCTCTGCTGTACTCAACCTGTTTAGTCAGGATCATCTGCTGACTAAAGAGAGACCAGTATCCCTGTCCTACAGATATTTACACAGCAAAATACCTATGCCACCATGTTATAAGAAATATTATAAGATTACAGGAAAGAAATTATTTTTTAAAGATTTTTTTTTTTAATTTACTTGACGGAGAGATAGAGCACAAGTAGGCAGAGCAGCAGGAGAGGGAGTGGGAGAAGCAGGCTTCCAGCTGAGCAAGGAGCCTGATGCAGGGCTCGATTCCAGAACCATGGGATCATGATCTGAGCTGAAGGCAGATGCTTAAATGACTGAGCCACCCAGGAAAGACTGGGTGACTCAGCCACCCTGAGGAAAGAAATTATTAAATCAAAGCTCTAAAATAACCATATATCAGAGAAGTAAGAGGTCTTGTGACAAGATGACCAAAATGAATTAAATAAACATAAAAGTAAAGCTGTATTTTCCAAGAATTGAATTTTTAATATCCAGCGGGAAAAAGTATCTTGCTCTGTGCTGAAAAGTTGTGTGAATGTATATACGTAGATATCCACACAGTGTTCTGAAAATAAAATTCATAGTCTGAAAGGCCTCCTGAGAAATTTGGGACAATCATGTGGTTAATCTTTTGCAAGAATAATTCCTTCATAGAGCAAATAATAAGCCTCAATGTATTGGAACTTTAAAAAATATTGCTGTGGTGAGAATCTTACCTAGAAAACTTTGTCCCTTCAGCTGCACTTGGGAAAACTTTTAAGCAAACATACTTCTAAGGTTTTATAAATGTTTCTCTGCTGCTAGCTATACTGTGACTATTTTAATTTCTCCTATGGTAATCGTGCTTTCATAATCTTGATTTTGTTCACTAAAAATAGAGTTCTAGAGACTTCCGGCTCAAGCCTGGACATAAGCATCGGCCTCCCATCGGCCCTAATCCCTCCCAAGACACCACCAAAATGAATGCATAAAATTAGAATAAAACCACAACAGTGAGAAGAATGGGAAATGGATCAACAGCAGATGAGAGATGTATACGTGTTTCTGGAAGACAGAAAGCAGATGAGACAAGATATGGACAAATGAGCCAGGCAGAGAAAGTGCCAAGACCTCACCACAGGAGCTCCTGAGGCCTGGAAGCCCATTTACTCCACTAAAACCCCAGGGCTGGGAGAAGGAGACATGACCTTGACTGGAAGGCTGATGGGGATCAACTGTACCACATGGTACCCTTGACACCCCCAGGCCACTATACCCAGCACAAACTTCAGGCAAGAAAAACCCAGGCCACTCTTCTCTAATGGAAGAGAACAAATCTTGTGGAGAAAGCTAAAGCTTATTTACAAATGTTGGTGCCTCAAATTAAAGGTCTCCTTGTTGTAGCATTTGGAGGACCTGGGACCAGAAAGTGAGCTCCCTAACTCATGTCCCTAAAGTCCCCCTAACTCAGAGCCCTCCTATGCCAGTTACTTTCTAATTTCCTGTTCTTAGGCAAGATACTTAGCTTCTCTGGGCCTCAGTTTCCTCATTTGTTAAAAAGGACTCTAAGATTATTACGAATATTAAAAACTGATGTTCAGGGGCGCCTGGGTGGCTCAGTGGGTTAAGCCTCTGCCTTCAGCTCAGGTCATGATTCCAGGGTCCTGGGATCGAGCCCCGCATCGGGCTCCCTGCTCCGCAGGGAGCCTGCCTCCACCTCTCTCTCTGCCTGCCTCTCTGCCTACTTGTGATCTCTGTCTGTCAAATAAAGAAATAAAATCTTTAAAAAAAAAAAAACTGATGTTCATAAAGTACCAGGTATATAATAAGCTTTATATTATATATCTTAGCTACACCACTGGACTTGGTATTAGATGATATTTACATAGGTACAAAAATGTAAACCAAGGTTACTGGTTTCTAACTTTTGGACTCAGCTGATGGACAAAGTATGGAAGAGTTGTTGTGGCTGGAGGCCAGAATATAAATGTTAATGACTCCAGCTATATCAAAATAAAAAAAAGTGTAAGGGACAAAGAGCAGGGTATGGAAGGCCAAGTGAACAGAGGACAGGGAAGTTAATATCTGCGTCTTATAAAATGGGGAGTCATATGACAGTGCTAAAAATACATGAAATAAGAAAGAGGATTTTAAATTACTGAAGTTTCCAAAGACAACAAATGGAAGTTTTACAATAATTTAACTGTCAACCATGAGAAGAGAGGGTATAGTATGAGCTAAACCCCATCTGTCATGTTAAAGAATCAATGGGGGGAGAAAAGAATCAATGGATGGCACCAATTTGATAAACCAAGAGATAGAAGAATAAACACACATTATTAGAACAGTAGTTCTCAACTCTGGCTGCACATGTAGATCAACTTGGAGACTTAAAAAAATTTTTTTTTCTTGGTCTGGGAATAAAACTACAGATTGGTGGTTTTTTTAAAGCTCCCCAGGTGATCCTAGCCTACAGCACTGAGACTCACTAATCGACACAACTGGAAAACAGAGCCAGTTAAAGTTTCCTTCCTGGAAATGGGACAGTGGGGCGGGGGGTGGAGGTGAAAGGAGAGACTGGATACTAACCTAGCCTTCCTTCACTCATTCATTCATTCATTCATTCAATAAATATTATAGGGGGCACGTGGGTGGCTCAGTGGGTTAAGGGCCTCTGCCTTTGGCTCAGGTCATGATCTCAGGGTCCTGGGATCAAGCCCCGCATCAGGCTCTCTGCCTGGCGGGGAGCCTACTTCCTCCTCTCTCTCTGCCTGCCTTTCTGCCTACTTGTGATCTCTGTCTGTCAAATAAATAAATTAAATAAATAAATAAATATTATAGAAGGCCTTCTATGTACCAGACACTGCTTCAGGCCCTTTTTTACCACAACCTCTCTAATACTAGTTGATTTGTTCTCATGGACATGAGTGCTTGGAAAAAATATTTTAATGCAATGAAAACACAGCATCCTTACCTGAACCCACTCGTTGACATACTCTGGGCAGCCAGTGAGACCCACTTCTGCCTGACTACAAGGAGCATCACCTATGCAGGGTGACACAGTTAGAAAACAAAATCTTTCACAAGGGGACAGCCAGGCTGTGAGAGAACTGGGAAAGACAACGGGAAGAGTGTCCAAGGACACGGGAGATTACCCACCCCACTTCACAGGCCCCCTGTCCTACCGCCAGAAGCCACTGAGCCATGGCTGCCTGGCTGGGTTCAAAAGTAAAGAGCTCTGAGGGCACCTGGGTGGCTCAGTCTGTTGAGCCTCCAACTCTTGATTGCAGCTCAGGTCATGATCTCAGGGTGCTGGGATGGAGCCTCATGGCAGGCTCTGTGCTCAGCAAGGATTCTGATTCTCTCCCTCTC